ATCACCCAAACACCACCCTCCCGTCCCAGACTGTAATGGCAAGAATATCATAAATTGATTCCTTTGTCAGCTTTGAGAAACGTTTTCCTTCAGGGCTACAGTATGTTTTGGGCATTTAAAGCAGGACTGTCTCAAGAAATGAAGCAAAAAGAAACAAATGATAAAATATAGTCACAAGACATTGTAGCTCACCTAACCTTTTCTGATTTGGCAGCACTACAGGTGACATCATTAGAAATTGAAAAACATCATTACTTTCTACAAAACAGACATCAAGGTTTAAATTTTAACATAAGTCTGTTGGTCTAAGAGGACAAGATTCAGTGACCTTTCCTTGTAGACCACCACAACTTTCACCATTAGAAAGATGGCAACCCTGTGGCAGATAATTTTTGCAGACTTGTGAAAATATATGTTAATCTGTAACCCTGGACCTGGACATACAGCATACAAAGTTATGATTCATGCATAATTGTTTAGGTGAGCTAAAACGTCAAAAAGGAAAATCATAAGAAATGTTCATCCTTCTTGACCAATTTCTTCTTAAACAGTACATCAAGAAATAATTCCCCTGGCTACATTTTGAAGTCCACATTTTGGTTGAATAGCTTTTCTACAATGTTAAAGTGTACAGATGTAATGCAAAGTGCATGTTTATCATGCATTATTACATACATCTAGATGGAGGTATTCACAATACTGTCAGAACTCTGGCGCCAAGAACAGACACCAGGTTACAATACACCCACAATTTATTAATCCCCACAAGGCTTATCATTACTTGGTCATACTAATTCTATGTTATGGAATGATATCATTTTTCAAATCTTGTCACATATTGACTGCATCACAATGTTGATATGGGGACTCAAGCAGCTAATCATGTGACTTGTCGACAGTTGTTGGTGTGGATTTCGCCACGTACATCAACCCCATCCATATAGTATTACTGCACTAGGATCATAGTAGGGAATATGGACAGCATATCACACATGTGGTTCTGAATGACAGTTTATATCGCATCAAAGATGTGGTTCTGCATGACAGTATGTCACATAACACATGGTTCTGTATGACAGTATGTCACATAACACATGGTTCTGCATGGCAGTATGTCACATAACACATGGTTCTGCATGGCAGTATGTCACATAACACATGGTTCTGCATGACAGTATGTCACATAACACATGGTTCTGCATGGCAGTATGTCACATAACACATGGTTCTGTATGACAGTATGTCACATAACACATGGTTCTGCATGGCAGTATGTCACATAACACATGGTTCTGCATGGCAGTATGTCACATAACACATGGTTCTGTATAACAGTATGTCACATAACACATGGTTCTGCATGGCAGTATGTCACATAACACATGGTTCTGCATGGCAGTATGTCACATAACACATGGTTCTGTATGACAGTATGTCACATAACATATGGTTCTGCATGACAGTGTGTCATGACACATTTGGTTCTTATTAAAAGTATTCATGTGTATAAGAATTGTATCAAACTGATGCTAATGTAACCTAGTTAGTAAAACATGAATGTTAAGACAAAATACAGAACTGATCCAAGGACCCATTGTCATCTGACAATTGTGGAGGGGTCCTACACGAATGCTTAACTTATTGCAGCCCATCTTAAACAGTAGGGAACACTTGTAATGTACAGTAAGAATCTTCTTCATGATTCTTGAAATAGACTCTAAAGGTATTTACGGCTGTCACAATATACCAGGGGGAATATTAGGCACTTCCTAACTTGCCTGCTGCAATCTGCTCCATCTTAAAGGTGACCTCCCAACAAGTGGTCATTTCTTATTTTAGATAGTTTGCCTCCATAATTTTGTTTGGCAGTGTTGTACATGCGTTGTCATTGTTCCCTGTACGTACAAATAAAATGCCTTATCTAATTTAATCACCAACTGCAACTGATAATTAAATAAACAATTCTTAATTGAAATAAAGCTGTTGGTAGCAAGATATACTTGTTCATGTCTTGTCTTTACAACATGTTATGAACAGGTCATCTTTTTCTTTCTCGTTCGAGTTCTCATCCATTACTGGATGACATATTTCTGTCTCACATACAAAATTACACGAAATGAACACGAGGGCATTGTATTGTCTTTGCTGCCTTGTTCAGAACTGTCTTGAGTAAGTAAGCGAGTTGGGGTTCAGCTTAGCAGCAATAACACTGCAATGTGCAATAAACTGTAAGCCCCCCAAAACTAGTCTCCTCCATTGTCCCTTCAGTCAGGGTACGATGGTATACTACAGCAGCCAGGCAGCACAACAGAACATTGGAATGACAAGTTTTGTCATTATCATAACATTTTTGACAGAGTTTTTAAACATAAACTAAACCGTTTTTTAATTCCATAACATGTTCTCATCACTGTATGGCTGATACAATGCCAATATGACCTTAAACTTTCCCTCCCTCACTCACTGTCATACAGCGTTAGAAATTGGCACTAGTCCTCTAGTCCTTACCAAACTGCCCAATAGTAAAGGTATCCTAAGGACTAGTAGAAATTGGCCCATTTTAAGGGTTTTGCTATATGCTATCATTATAAGGACTAGTGGACAAAACTGTTAGTTTTATCATACGTCACCTAGTTTTGTGTAGCCTGGAGAGTTGGGAACCTCTCTGCCCCAGCATACCCTTGAGGCATTCATATGTACATACATAACATACCTTCATCAACATTCGGACTTCTACACTGACTGTATCACTGCCATCATACGAACTACGCATATCCTGTTTAGCAATATTTCATGTGTGAACGACTTTTCACACCAGACTGCAAATGCAATTTTCTCAGGTATTCACAGGTAAGTGTCATCAAAATACACTTGACACATGAAATGTATGTCACCCTGGATCCAAACACATGCCTGACTAAATAACCTGTACTGACCTATTACCCAAGACCTAAACCCCTCATCTTGTAGAATATCAGTGTTCTTCCTCCTGCAAAGTATTTGAACAGGAGAGAGAGGGGCTGCCTATCAATGATAGAGAAATGTTGGGAAAGTAATGAGTTAATCCAAGAATAGCAAACACATGTTGCAAAGTTGTACAGAAGCTCGTAGTGAAGAAATGGGACATATGGGACAATAACCGCTGCATGTTCGGGGGATCCTGTGGTGACAGATCTATGTTACACGACTATAAAGGGGAGCGTGTTTTGTTAGGCAACTCTTGTCTGTCACGCTTGACTAGGTCCAGCATTTCGTACATGTGTCCACAGTAATAGACACGCATTGTAACACATAAATAGAAAAAGTCTAATCTTGATTCATGTTCACAGCAGTTTTGGGTGTGCCATGTTAAATTTGCTAAAACGTTGGACACGTAAGTCTATTCTTCTTTTATAACAAATATTTTGCATTGGGGGTTAAAATTCAGTTCACGTGAGCTTAACGAGATCGTGAACCAAGTCTCAGTGTTTTAACTGAAAACTTCCTCACTGGTGGTAAAGGCAGTTGAAATAGTTCATCACAAAGTGTACACTGTTGTCAATGAATTATGTTACAGGTTTCAGATAACTTCATATTTCTTGATCTGCTCCTTACTTCCTACAATGCAGGTACATTGCAGAAAGGGTGATAGAGAGAAAAGGGTCATTAATCCATTGTAGTATTATCTATGGCAGTAGTTATTTCACAGTTGGTGCACAGAAACAGACCTGACAAGGACAAACTACATGTGAGGTGGTCCGTACTCGAAGCAACAACTCAGAGTAAGATGACACACTATTATTCCACACTAAGAATTTGATGTTCTTGCTGGTGACCACACACAGCAGCCATTGTGACCACACAATCCCAGCATTTATCAACACCGTTAAACATGTCGTACTGGGAAGCAATAGTGCTGTTATGTAGAATTCAGGAGAAGGCAGCTTAATTCTCAATGCAAATGTTGAATGCACAGCTTCTGTTAAAAAGCTGGTGCATTACCTCAATGAAAAAAATACCTGATCTAATAAATTGATGTCAGGGACAATTCTGAAGCTTAGATCATCTTGTCTTTTTAAACAACAGTTGGAATCATGATAAGGATGCTACATAATGATATGATTTATATTTTTTTTAAATCCAGAAGCATTAAAACTTCCTTCGGGCCTTTATTTGTGAAATATTCACTGAAAGCCTTAATTTGTCAGAAAGAAAAGAAATGTACTTCAAGTAAAGTCGGAACATGAACACACATCTAAAACAAAACCTGCAAAAGACCAGGTCAAACTCGCACCTTAAGACATTTCCTATAAATGTCTGCCATGTGCTTCTCCTAACACTCACAGGAACAATAGGCAGCACACTTCTCATGGATATTGTGTTGTTTCGAAGTTTTATTACATCACGACATAACGTCAAAAGTCAACCATTGAAAGCATTCATGGCTCCACAAAATGTCAAATAGTCACAGCCTTCTGATATGACCTTCTACAGGTTGACCTTGGTCAAACCAACAACTGCTATGAGTTTGAAAAGTTTGAAAACAAAAACAACACATGATCTGAAACTAGGGACAAGAAAAATTCAAAAATAAAACAAAATCACATGCAGGTCACTTTTCATTTTGTACTTGCAACGTTTACCCGTCATTTGAACTACTTTTTGTACTGTTTCCATGGCAAGGGAAACTGATTAGGAGACAATATGATCAGCTTACTTTCCAACTATGTCTCAAAATATCTGCAATTACCCCGAACAAACTACAGTTTCATGTCAAAAGGGTAAAAGAAAATTAACTTGTATAGCTAAATGAATCACAAAAAGAACATCAGAATTCAATCTTCCTGTACCAAAACCATTAACCAGAATACAACTTTCCGGCAGGGGAGCAAGTAAAGTCATTACACGGCTTCAATTAGTTCTATTTAAGGACAGGCAGCTACAGAAATACCTCACCATAAACTGGGAGGCCACGTGAGGAGTCATAAATGTCTATATATACCAATACAGTGTATTCTTACCTTTGAGTACATGTTTGAGTTCCTTGGCAGCTCTGGTTGTTGTGAACTTGTTGACAATGTCTAGTGCTGTCTGGTCATAAGAGTTGGGCTTGTTGACATCGATGCCACACTGGAATAACAAGTTGGTAATTTCATCAAATGCTGAACTGATGAAGTAAGAGAGATACAAGGTCATCTTGACTTGACAATAACAGCATCTAGAGCTTGGTGGATTCTGTCATGTTACCCACCACAGGCATTGTGTCAAGTGCAGCTTGTCAAACAGGACTAAAGTTTTTGTTAATGGACACTTTCGAGTGTGGATAAATAAGCCTCTATTCAATTTGACACTTTTCAAATTTAATTTATATCAGAGGGCTGAATTTAATGTTTGTCTCAGTTTGGGCTTCAACATAAAATGTAATGAAAAAGAACAAGGTTACATATATATATACAATGTTTTTCTGATCAAATAATGCGATCAAGAGTGAATGTTATTTCATGCCACAGTCAGCAATATTTTAGGAATATCATGCTAGCTCATATACAACAAAGTCCGAGCCAGGCAAACCAGTATCTGATGGTATGATCACCAAGCAACATTGTTGGGGTACAATGACATACAATCATCCAGGTCACACATATTTTCTTGAGTATAGTGTGCACCTAAGTATAAAGCACAATCCCCTTTTGGGGATTCAGTATTTTGGAAAGAAAGCTCTTTTGAGAATTATGTGCAGAAAAAAACAAACCACATCGTATCTCTTCTGCAAATTCAGCTAAACGTACAGGTGATAACAAACGTGGTCAATACAAAATTTCAATATGACATAAAACATCATTTGACATAATCACTTACAATTTAAATTGTATTTCCTGTTCTGATAGGCATTGTTTTACATGCAGGGATCATGATTAAAATGTGCATTATCTCATAACTATGCCAGAAATAGCAATCATTTGAACACCTTTTCTCTCAATCTACAAGTGATTAAGTTAATACATATTCAATAATATAATTTTAAAGAATTTCAACACAATAATCAGGAGAATTGTATCTGAAACTATTATTTTATCAGGAATGATATATTACGATATTGTGTTATTTTATTTGCATATTTTACAATATATATTTACAATATATATTTACAATAATAATAACCATAAGCATAGCACATATTGGTACAACTGATGGCAATTCGACCAATCACCATCGAGACTCCCATGGTCACGATAGCGAAAACATTATGTTGACATATGATAGTCAAACTACAACAAATATGACTTTTAACGAGGCAAAGTATGGCAATTTTGTATCCATTCTCTGACAACTCAAGTTCATTTCAAGACATCAATGACGGTAATCTGACCATGGTTGCTGTAAATAACGTGAGTTCACTCACGATCAAGCCAAAATTAACTTAAACAGTAATGAATAAAACTATTAAAATAGATAACATATATATATACAATGAACACTTTTTATAACCAGAGTGTTATTACATGATTAACTTGCATACTTCAGTACAAATTTGTTTACATCATATTTCCGGTGTTAGTGCTCACAGTATCGTCTTTACTCTGGGAAAAACCCATTAAAACCCCTTATGAAGTGTAGAATGCACCCATTCCACTGAGAAGTAGGCTACATAGCTTTAGGCTAGAAAGTTCTACATTCACATTACTATCACCTCCAACCGGGTACCCATAACCTGCTGGGTGAATGAGGCATATTTCAAACAAAGTCACTTGCCTAAAGGGACAACATGTTTTTACAAGCCTGGATTCAGTGTGTGTAACTATCAACAGTGGTGACACTGCATACCTGATGCACTTGACTCGCAAGGATCTGTATGCACGTATAGCCGAGGACAGGCAGGTATTGCACCCTGACATGCTGCATTTAGCACTTGTCCCCAGCTGGGTCATGACATCCACAAAAGGAATGTACATGTACACACTGCTGGGTACACATGCACAAGTGTGATCAAGGGGTGCACTGCACACAGGCAATGCACAAACTGTCGCTGAATGCCAGTGCGGCAGTGACTATGTTTCTCTCTGTTCATATGTGCATGACTGTGTTCATGTGTGTGACTGTTCACTTGTGTGTGTGGTTGTGTTCATGTGTGGTTGTGTTCATGTGTGTGTGACTGTCTGCACCATAGCATGTGACTGTCTGCACCATAGCATGTGACTGTCTGCACCATAGCATGTGACTGTCTGCACCATAGCATGTGACTGTATGCACAACAGCAAGTGACTGTCTGCACCATAGCATGTGACTGTCTGCACCAAGCATGTGACTGTCTGCACCATAGCATGCGACTGTCTGCACCATAGCATGTGACTGTCTGCACCATAGACCATGTGGCTGAATATAGACTATTGATACTATAGCGTGTGACCGTGTGTACCATGTTACAAAACAGAATGTTGTTGTTTGTACCATAGCATGTGACCATCACCACACTCTGTAGGAAGGCATGCATCTATGCATATGTGTCATCTTAAAATCATGTAATTTCTTGATTTTTGGTTGGTAAAAGCCACACTAAGCAATATTCCAGCTACGTGATGGCAGCCTGAAAATAATCAAATCTGGACCAGACAATTCAGTGATTGTTATATGAGCAATGATCCACACCATCTAGGTACGATGATATGAAATCAACCGAGTAACCAGGTCCGACCACCCGATGCACTTAGTGGACCTTACATCCAGCATAGGTTGCTGTGGATCTTACAACCAGCATAAATTGCTGTGGATCTTACAACCAGCATAGGTTGCTGTGGACCTATTCCAACCCAGAATTCCCACGGATAATCATGCACCTTTTAACATATTCTACAGTATGATATATTCCAAATGTTTGTCTGTACAACACTAGCTGGTAGCTACATCAGCACATGAACAACGACAGCCATAAACCAACACTCCTAATGAGTTACTCTACACTTCCCAGAGACTTCAATGTACACTGGGCAAAGGGAGGTAACTCTTCTGGTTTGAACTGTTTGGGCAAAATATCCTCTTATCTAAACATATGAAACAAATGTTTATGCTGGAATCATATAACTATAAATATATGCTTTCTCAAATTGATGTTTAATGTCCAGTGTATATAAATAAGTATCTATAGCTTATTTAGATAAACCCTGCTCAGGCTCAATATACACACAAGTTAAGGAAATATTTTGATACAGATGATAACCTTTTAATAATTCATTCAGTCTCTTTGATGTGCCACAGATTCAGGTTTGTAATTTATCAAGATCAGAGTGGAATTCAGATTATAATAAAGAAATGTAAACATTGATATTGATATCAGCACAGATGCTGTCCTGTCCCATCAATCACTTCCATCCTAAAGTCTTACCAGCTACCTTCTCTGTCATACCATAGTTTTATATTTTGCATTTTACAGAATCGACAATAATGAATTGATCTGGAACCCTGCGCCAATCTTTTTAAGATTCACAGTCCATGAAGCACATTATTTCCCCTTCCACCCAGTCCTTACTGTAATGCTAACCCTACATGAAGCTCCCCATCTCACTCTCAATTTAAATGTACTGTATATCGCTGTCTATAAAGAGACCCAGCCTGTAAGGCGATCCACCTGTAAAAGCCTTCAAAATCAGTGCTAATTTATATACCCCATCTATAAAGCAAATTGGAATGAAGACAGCGTTAGAAATTGACACTAGTCCTGTAGTCCTTGCCAAACTGCCCAATAGTAAAGGCATCATAAGGACTTGTGGATTAAAACAGTTAGTTTCTATCACTGATGAAGAACACCGTCAAGTAAACACAATCCCTAAATTTGCAATAAAAACGTGTTTGTCTTCTGTAGAAAAAGATTACATCGGATCCCTTCAGCGAATATCCCTTCGAAACGAACAGGTGATAGCCATTAAACTTGAACAATACAAATTTGAAATTTGAGATAAAGCATCACTAAACATGATGATTTACCGTACAAATTGTATTTCCTGTTCTCCTAGTCATCGTATTATATGCAGAGATTAAGATGACCGCGTGTATTGTCTCATAAACTAAGCTCGATGCAGCAATTAGCTGTGCACACATTTTCTCGGAATCTACCAGTGATTTGGTTCAAATCTACCCAATAATATAACTTTAAAGAATTTTGATACAATGATACAAAGAATTGTATCTGAAACTATTATTTTATCCAGAATGATATATTCCAGCATCATGTTATTTCAGTTGCAGATTTTCCATATACAAATACCATATGTATATTTGAAATAAATTAATAACTATAAGCGTAGCACTTTGGTACAGCTGATCGCTATTGCCATATATCTTTTACGTATGGAAAAATTTGAACAAAATCACTGTTTAAGATCAGGAGGTCACGATTGCAAAAACTTTATGTCGACATATAATTGTCAAACTACAACAAATATGACTTTTAACATGTCAAAGTAGGGCACTGAAGTTGGTTTCACAGCGTCAATAACGGTAATCTGACCATGGTTGCTGTAAATAACGTTGAGTTGGCTATCTACCGATCACTTCACACACGATTTTGCCGAAATGAATGTAAACACAATTGAATTGAATTTTTAATAAAATTAATAAAATAGGTTACAAACATAAGTCCAGATATACAATGTACACTTTTTATAACCAGACAGTGTAATCACAAGATTAATTTGCATACTTCAGTATGCATTTGTTGACATGGTATTTGCGGTGTTACGTGCTCACGGTAATGTCTTTGGGTGGGGGGAAAAAACTATCAAAACTCTTCTACCCTGTGCATAGGTTGACCCCCCTTGAAACCCTCCTAATTCTAGGTACGAAAAACTCATACACGGCGATATACAGTAGTTGCTTGTCTCTATGAAAACTATATGTTTTCAGAGACTAAGGCAAGGCATACATATGAAAGGGTCTGACCTACCTAACATCTTCTTTCATATGAATATGACTTGGAATAGCTGGCTGGCTCTAAACCACCATAAGGAAGAAGTCAATACATACATGCCTCAGACGCCTCACTTTTGACATGAGATTCCTGACACATCACATATGAGGGTATATATCAAGATATTAGCACAGTTGACATGATATGGACAAGATGCTGGCGGTGGTAT